AAAGGGCGAGCATGTTTGGTGTGACGGGGATTCGAACCCGCGACCCTCAGATTGTATTACAGTAGTAAACGTGAACTCACTGATATTCTGTAGATTAACTCATTAATTAAGTTAGTGTTAATATATATATATATGGATTGTTGGTTGAGTGAGACTAGTAACAAATAAATACAACTACGGGTGATATTATCTTAAAATATAAAAATAGTTAAATTACTTGTAAAAAAACGTGATCAATATTTCGATTAAATGGTATTCAACTTTCAGGAAGATTTCACTGAAATGTTTAACTTCCGATAGTACATATATTTCATCGTCTTCAAAATCAAGTACGACGTTCGCCATCACGATTTACAGTTGTTACTATTAATCTCTTCTTGCCCTAAAAATCTCAAAACATTAAACAGCCCGAATACCATAAGTCATACTTTAGCACCTTGTTGACATCCCTCATTCAAATTTTATCACAATATATAAATCTATTTATAATTCTATAGAGTAATTTTGAATTCACCTGTCGTTACTACATTCTCCAGTCTAACAAATTCTCGATTTATATCTGGTTTTGACTTTAACTTCCAACTGAATATAGGTGTTTCTTTACCATAACTATTAGAACACCTGTTTTGGTATTGCACCAATTACTTCCAAACATTACTCTTGTTCACCTATCTTAAGTAAACTTCTCTAGTTTATATTTTAAAGCACAAGTCCGTTCATTCTCCTTTATTTTCTCCATACTTGCACATAAAAATGATTATATAATTTTTCCACTAGAATTTCTGTCATTCTCCATAACTTTAGTCTACGAACTGACACCAATCATGCATAAATATATTAGAACTAATAAGCGTAAATTCCATCGACGAAATGGACTAAAAATACATTATACCGCATTAGATCGCTTTGAAAAGGCTTAGCGTTAGTTAAGCCTAATGTATGTTTTATAAAAGCGGTATAATACACCTGTGCTAATTTATTATATTTATATTTTATTTATTTCAGTCTGCTCCAACAATGACATTTTAAAGTTAGAACAGCTCAGGTTCTAAACTACAAACCTGTCCATATGGCTCTTATCCTATCTTTCTTCATTACTGAGGTCATACACATTTACCCATTACACCTCAATCGAATAAGTCTTACAGAACACCTACTAAATGGTAACAAAGTACAGAAAGGGTCTTCTGAGCAAGTGGACAAAACTACTGTGATAAAATTCAGGCATTAAACGTAAATAAAGGCTACATATGATCCTGAACCGAGTAACTTTTCCCCATCAGTTGAAATCAACCTGTATTGTGTAAATATAGACAGCGTTTGTATATGTGTAGTCAGTATTAGTATCAAAATGGTTGGCCATGAATTTCAATCCTGCGAACCCAGCTTGCTAGTCGAGTACCCTAAACACCAGGCCATGACCTGCAGACAATAGTTTTTTAAGACACATAAAATAAATTGATAAATAACTTATCCCTCAAACCTTTTTTCCATTTCTTGTTACTTAAAATAGTTTATGCATTTAACACTCAACACATACAAACCTCCCATCTCCCTTTCAGCCGTGAGGGCGTTATAATGTGACGGCTAATCCAATTTTTCATTGGTAAAGAGTAGCCTAAGTGTTGGCAGTAAGTGTTGTTCACTAGCTACTTGTTTGTTTGTTTCAAGTTAAGCACAAAGCTACACAATGGGCTATCTATGCTCTGCCCAACCCGATTTATAGCGTTGTAAGTCCGCGGACATACCGCTGTGCCACTGGGGGGTTCACTAGCTGCCTTCCTTCCCTCTAGTCTATCACTTCTGATTTAGGGACAGCTAGTGCAGATAGCCACCGAGTAGCCTTACGCGAAATTAAGCAAACACATACAATTTTTAAATATATTTTTTGCTTCCTTTTGTAAGAGTATATGCACCTAAGTCTTAAGGCTATAATGGCAATGAACAAAATGTTAATAAATAAAATTTTGAGGATTTTATTCATTTGCATATTAACGTAAATGTTTACATCTAAAGAAAAAGTCGTATAATGTACTAGAATTAATATCACTAACACAGGACATTATGTGACCACAAAAAGGATGGATTGAAGTAATCGCATCCTCAAGAACTGCCTCGCACACATACCTGATAGTTAGGTGCTGTTCTGTCTACTTACCTGTCCAGTCTCTTCAACTGTTTGTTCAGTTCACTCTGTTCATTAATCAGCTGCACATGCTGTTTGGAAAGCTGCTCCAGCTGTGGTTGGATTTGATTGACTCCGGAGTAGTTTTGGAGCTCTTGACTCTGCAGCAACTTAGCTTTTAAATCCTCCTGCTGAGCTCCTATGGATTTCAATTGATCTGCTATCGCTTCATATCTTTCCTGAAACATTTAGTATTACTCCTATTTAATGAACAGGAATATTATAATAGTAAATTCTTTCAAAAGAGAACATTAATAACACAGCTTTGTATTAAGTTAATTATAAAGATGGACCATTATTACACTTAGTAACTACACTTAGAATATCTACAAGCAGTAATAATAGTACCAGAACACGTATCTATTAAATCCGTTAAATAATAACAAACCATCCTCTTAAATATTTAGAATTTAGATATATGGCAACAAAAAATTCAGGATAAGCTAGTGAATTCTCCCCGTGCATAAGATGATGCCAGGATAGGAATCTAAAGTTCACGAAAAGGTGCTGTTGGTGAAAGATGAAAATGTAGTAGCCAGGTAGGGAAGTCCAAACAGCTAATCTATCTATCTAACGTGATCTATTTAATCTATACTATAAAGCGTCTTCTGTCAGTATGTCTGTCCGTGACGAAAAGTTTCACACTTGATTGGACATTTGCGCTAGTATCTCGAAACGTCATCCGATAATTTCTAATACAAATGCAGTCCACAAAAGTCTCGAACCAACTCGTTTTTTTTTCTACTAATTTTTTTTTCTTTTTTTATAAATAAGGATTTTCAACTTTCCTGGCCTGTAATCACTGTGAAACTTCAAGAGGTTTCGGATACGCCATAGAGGGTTTTTGAACACCACTTACTTTATTCATATTCCTATTTTCAGGAGTTTGAAAGCCATTTAAATCAACCCTCCCCTTGCTACTGAGTTAGTGTTCATTCCTATACTCCGATTGCTATGAAACTTTCAGGGATTCTTAGGCATGCTTCAGATCTCTCTGGCACCTAGAACTACATTGAATACAGTTACACTAAAGAGAAAGCCACTACGGGTGAATGTCTAATAAATACTATGCCGGTATTTAGCATATGTGTATGACGAATGATGCTAGCGGAAGTCGTTTCACCATCCTCATGAAGCCAAAATGATGTTTACATATTAGCACACCACAAGTTTCGTAAATACATGTGAAAGTGTACCTTTAAAAATCTTTAGTGTTATTTTTATTCAACTTATAGAAAACAGAGTATTTAGTTCATTAACCACAGAACTACTTTAGTGTCCTAAATAGTTGACACAATGAATGATATGGGGCACATTTATTAAGATCATTGAATTGTCTTCCCTCATATCCTTTCAGTTGTATGTTACTAGATGTACTTCCGCATGGTCCCCGAAAGTGTTCTTTTTCAAGAGTAAATAAAACCAAAATTAAGAATAATAAATATTTTTATTTCTTGCTTTTCAAGTTCATACGTTATGCTGTGTTGTAGCCTACACAGTGCATAATTCTTCTTGTGATTCATGGAAACGTGCACGTTTTACTGGCGTCACGAAAGTACAAATTGCAACGTTAAACATCCATTACGTGACTTATTTTAGTTTCTACTGACTGATTGATTGACAGACAACACACTATTATACAGTGGTGCAAATGGTTAAAACAGGTGACCCTTCCAGGCGGCCTTCGGCTCCATTCCGGGGATATAAAATAGCCACAAAATTTGCCATAAAAATTATGTTAACTGCAGATAGTTCATTACATTCCTCTTAATTTTCTCAGTTAGGATGCAAAATTAGCAAAGTTAGGATGCAAAATTAACATAAAAATTATGTTAACTGCAGATAGTTCATTACATTCCTCTTAATTTTCTCAGTTAGGATGCAAAATTAGGAGCATGTAAAAGTAGCATTCCAAACCTAACTTCCACAAGTCACTGCCAAAAAGGTGTTTTGTCAATACGAGAACTCGTCAGTTGGGCTAGACGACGATAGACAAAAGATTCTCTTAAACGCTATTTATATAAACAGTGGAGTACCTTAAAAAATACATTTTAAATGCTGAAAGCTGGCGAAGCGGACATATCAAGAATAATGTGCAAACAAAATCTGCAGTTCTGCAGATAACATACTTTTCATCACAAGTTTTAAAATTATTGTTTAATGTATTCTTCATAGTCTAATAAAAGGTTTTGGGCACTGATAGCGTTTACAAAATTAAGCAGAAATATATTGTTTTTAAGAGCTTGTTCGTTCTGTATTTTTCTTTCTGTTTAAGATTGATGTGAGTGTTACGAGTTAAATAGTTTAAGCATAGTGCCAATGTTAAATTTTCTTATTTTTTTAGAAGCCATTGTTTATTGCAAGTTCGTTTACCTCACTGTTTACAAATCACGCGTTGTGTAGTTCAATTTTTGTGAATTGGCTATTGTTGTATTATTGCATCATATTAGTAAAACCTTCTAAGTTTTTCTCATTGTTTTAATTGAGTATTGTTGCATCATAATATCTCGTAATTTGTGGAACGTTCTAGGCCTCGGTCAGGCTATAAATACGTGTCCAAACTGTACTGAGTTAGATATAGATAGATAGACAGTTAGATCTAGACTGCATTTAACCATAAAGAGGGCATTTTGGCGGTTACTAAGTGAAGTTATCACAGATTGTAATGTAATAACAGAGTGGAGAAGAATAATGTGTCTTGTCAATTGTGTTCTAAAGTAACTGAATCAGCCTGTGTGGGTTTTGACGAAAAAAATAGAGACAATGATTTAAAACTCTGGATACAATTGTGTTAACCAACAGTGTAACGAACATTTTTATATACGTTTCACTTTTTTAATATACTATTTTAAAATAAGTGGACTGTGTGCTGTTGTTTACTGTTCAAGTTTATCGCTGACAAGTCACAGACACCTATTGTAAAGAATCCTGCCCATACATACATAAAACTTGACACTGTACCTTTTAATCATTCAGCATTCCCTATCATATATAAAAGCTTGCATGCCCAGCTAATGTGTTGTTTGGATAAACACGTACTAACATTTGTTGTGTGCTTTAGCCTATAAAAAAAAGTCTGAATTCATGGTCATACCAATTAACTGATTTTTTAAATCATCACATAATCAACGAAAGATACTGAATAAATTGACCTGCAATAAAACATTTTAACATTCTAATACAAATATTTTTATTACGCATCAAATTGCACAAGATTTCTGGTTCAACCTCCAGAGTCAGTAAATATCCAAGCTCAAGCTTTCTCATTATAGATTTGGATCTTTATAAGTGATGCAACAATGAGTACATAATTTTGTTTGATTTTAGTATTCTGAAATCGAAATCATATGCATATGGTGACATACTTTTGAAATCGCTTTACTCTTTCAGATGTCTATATATATATACATATAATGTAACCTGTAAACATACCTGTCGTTTTTTCTTCTCTTCCTCCAGTTGGGTTTTATCAATGAGACTATAGGGGCTTGGATCCAGTCTGGGGCGCTTACAGGAATCTTCTTCGTAAGACCTATAGCCCTGTGACCTAGAAGTATCGTCAAAACTGACAATTTTGTTTTATAGCTGCCAAGAACCTTTTTGGTAAAAACAAACCAAAATTTCTAAGTCTGACTACATCAAACTCTCTTGCTCATTTGTTCTAGCTTAATACAAACAATCGTAGAACTACAGTATCTTGTTGACAGACAAAGAAGTAACATAAACTTCAACGTCAGGCACAGTCAATAATTTTGTTCACCTCCAAGATCAGTAGATATCCAAAGTTAGTACAAACAATCATTGAAAGTATAGTAACTTGTCGATATAAAAGAATATCCATCATAGTCATAAATTTCGGTTCACTTCTTGGGTTAGATGATGTCCAAATTTAATAGAAATAATTTGTGTAAAAGTTTAAATGAAGTACACGGCAAGCTTTCAAAAGAAAGGTACTAAAGTTACCAAAGAAACTGCCCATTTTCATAGCTTCAATGAATGTACGACGGTTTCTTTTATTCATCGAATTTTATATTTGTGGGTTTTGAGAAGGCATATATGATGTTTTAGGTGTCCATTGATAAAGGAAGTTTTATTTTTGAAATACAAATGTATATTCTTTAATGAGGGTGTGACAGTAATAACTCCCCCATTTTTCACTTTAAAAGCCCCAGAATCATCGATTTTATGTGGAAGTTCATGTTAACGTATATATTTCCAGCTTGTGATCTAATAAACTACAAATACTTCAACTTTTGTATTCTGAAAATGTACCTTGTACAGCCAAAAATAAACACTTTTTTTAAGCTATGTCATTCTTAGCCTGGAGAAATATGTCATTTGTTTGAGAACAGAATATATGACATACACTTCCTCAGCAATTATGTCTAGTTACTGTATCGAAGATGTGCAAAGGTTTGTTTATGATTTATGTCGTAAGAACTTACATATCAATTTACCTGCTCCTGGTCATTCCAGTAGTCTGTAACTTCGTGGTAAAGGCCACAACATCTTGTTGTAGTTCAGATGATGTACTGTAATTTGGAAGTTTAGATAGCGCAAAAGATTTACCCCTTCTGGAAGGGCTACAAGACACGAAAATTTTACTTTTGAAGAAATTAATATCTGTAGTGTTGAACCATACTGACAAAGCAAAAGAAGGCATGGTTCCATCAGGGGAGAAACAGCTACTAAGTGGTTACAAAAATTTATGCTCGTCCTGTCCATGTAATAACAAGGAAGTTAACGAGGAATCGCAAGGGAAAATCAGTCAATGGATGTCAATAAGGTAAAATTTTACCAAAACAAAGTATTCACCTACATGTCAAAATGTCAAATCCTCTGCAAGTTACAAGAACAAATAAGAATCCATGGGCTTCCCATGAACTTATGTGCCTTTGGGTTGCTTAAAGTGGCCTTCGGAAGCCGTATGGTGATAGACTTTGGGAAGATTGCAGAGAGGAGAGAAACAACATTGGCTTCAGTGTATTGTCCAAAAACCTCATACAGCAGAAATGTTATCACACAGTAACACATAAACATTCATCCTTGTATCTGTGTAGAAAATATAAATGATTTTGCGTATTATTTCATTGGCATAGAGTTAAGTTATAAGAGTATATATATATATTTTTTTCACATTCTTAATAGTGATATTAACAACTGTGGGAAAATGGTTCTAGTTTTGAAGCAAAGTTCCATGCAAATATCAAACAGCAGAATTACCAGTCAGTGAAGTGCAGGGTGGAAATATATTCGTATTCTGTATTTATGACAGAGCTACCAAAGGCCAAAGAGAAGGCAGCCATTCAGTAGCATCCTACTAGTGACACCTACTATCCAAGCTAAAAGACTGATTGTTACGCTAAAGTTTTACCACAAGGCCGAGCAGCGCCGTAAGTAGCATTAATTTAGGTATAAAAAACATTATAAGAAATTTATGATAAACCAAATGTTCAATAAGCATTATTTCCTTTACTGACTCCGAAACTGGGGGATACTAAATGCGACTAAGCTCAAACAACAAGTTCCTCCTCTTTCTGAAAATGTTTTATATAAAAATAAGAATAAAAGATATATATAGTCGGTTTGTTTGTTTGTTTTTGAATTTCGCGCAAAACACGAGGGCTATCTGCGCTA